ATGGTAAATTCGGTAAATACTTGCAAATATTCGCATTTAGAAAATATGCAAATATTCAGTGGGCGAATAATTATGTCCACAACTATATATATATATATATATATATATATATATATATATATATATATCTAATCGAGTTCACCTCATGCAAGACAGTAAAGCCACAAGGGCTTACTGGGCGTGGAAAAATTAGAAACAGAAACATTACTAATGAACGGAAACAAAACCTAATCGTGAGGATAGTAGATAGCGATTGACAGTGCAATTAAATTTTTGAAGATTAAAGTTGGCTGGAAAGCATGAAGCCAGAAGTGCAACAAAATAAACTGTTAACACGGAATTTACATCTAGCCAACTTAACTGCAAATTGATGAGATCTCGACGCCAGTCTATTACTGCGCTTAAATGAAAAAAGTCTAGGTACCATAGCCAAGAGCTCATCCGAACAATTACCGTGAAAGTATTTATAGAAAAGTCACAAGGAGGCAAACTTAGAGCGGTGGGCAAGTGACTGAAGACGAAACCTCAAATCAGGACCAATAATATTGCTGATTCTACTTTGGATTTTATAAAGAAGCTCTAGATAAATAGCAGGAGGAGCGGGTCATATGAGGCAGCAATATTCTCAGCATGGGCGAATGATAGACTATATTTCTGAGATTAGGTATTATGTACATTATTTACATTATTCGGACTATTGTCCTCATCTTTGTCGCCATATTTATTACAACGTTTCGGCCGTTGTACGCTCCGGCCTTCTTCAGATGGTTGGAATGTCGAACTGAACCCTTCATTTCGCTCACTGGGATAGACTGTCATAGTTCCACGTGCCATGTTTAATTATCTCCTGTTAATTTTCACTCTGAAAGTTCTCTACTCCCTTAGCATAGCTCTTTGGGTCACTGGATCTAACCAACGCTTTTATCCACTGTGCTATATGTTCTTCAGGACATCTGTGTATGAATTTCTGGATATTATAAACTTAATGTTTTCAGCAACCATTTTTACCAGTGCTCATATTGCAATTTTTGCTGTTATCATTGCATGTTTTTACCAGAGCTCATATTGCAACTTTGTTGTTATTATCGCTTTTCTCTGACACTCCTTATTACTGGTTCCCATATTGTATTTATTTCTATGCTTGGTCGGCTCAGGAGATTTTTGTGGCCTAGCATATGTGCCGATTCCTTAAGTTTACGAATTTTCCAATGGTGTTCCTTGTCTATCTCAACTTGATCCCACAGAGGGCGGTGATCTCCCTTCTCTCTCCATATGTGGTCAGCCACGCCTGATTTTTCCACTTCCCCTCGTGTTACAGCTTTCTGGTGTTCTTGAAGCCTTACCTTGAAGGGGCGGCCTGTCTCCCCTTTATATTTCTTTCCGCAGCTTCACGGGATAGCGTACACACAGTCTTTAGACATGTTCTCCTCTATGGTGGGTCTTACTCGGGAGAGATATCTACGAAGTGTCGTCAAGCTTTTGAAGGTTGTCCTGATGTTATATGGACCGCAGATCCTTTGTATTTTCTCTGATAACCCCTTCACATAAGGCAGGCAATCTGTTTTCTGAGTGTTGTCCTCCTCCTCTTGTACCCGCCTATCCCAGTTTTTTTTTTGGGGGGGCTGCAATGTACCCAGGGTGGTTGTTACGTTGTAGAGTACTACTTATACTGACCAATTCTTTATCTAATGTCTCTGGGTGGCCACTTATGACTTTTGCTCGATGTTGTAAGCAGCGGACGATCCCTTTCTTTACGCTGTATGGATGGTGGGAGTTGAAATTGAGGTGAATGTCGATTTACGGTATACAGATGTCTTAAACTCATGCTCTGTTCGAGATATTAGAACATCCAGGAATGGGAGTGTGCTGTTACTCTCTTTCTCCATTGTGAACTGTATCGAAGGTCTTATTGAGTTCACATGGTCCAGTAGAACCTGAACATCTTCCTGGTGTGGCTAGAGTATGAAGGTGTCATCTACGTACCATAACCATATAGTTGGCTTTAGAGATATAGATTCTAATGTATTCCATGTATATATTCGCCATTGCTGGTGATAATGGCGAGCCTATTGTTAAGCCCTCATCCTGTCGATATATGTGTGATCCCATTCCGAAGTGTGTTGTTTGTGTACAGAAAGTCAACATCTCCATCAGATTATCTATTGGAATACTGGTCCGTTCTTCTAGGGATGACTCAGAGGCCAATCTGTCTCTGACTACTGAGAGTGCCTCCTCCGTGGGTACCTTGGTGAACCAACTCACCACGTCCAAGCTGACCATCTGGTTGGATAGGATGGGAGCATCTTTGATTATTTCCACGAAGTGGACGGAGTTTCGGACATATGAAGGAGACTTTCCGATCAATGGGTCAATTATATCTACAAGGAAGCGACTCGGAGATAACTGATAACTGACATCCATTATTCTAGAGATAAAATTGTCTCGCACGATAAAATGAACCTACTTTCTTAGGAGCTGAACTATAAACGATATATAATTTTTTTTTTTTATATCAAGAACAATTTTAGGAAAATCTATGACAAAGTGAAGAATTTTTTTTCCTGACGCGTTTTGTCCTGTAGGTCTTCATTGAACTAAAGTGATGTTTACGTTGATGCCACTATATGTAGTCAAGAAGGAAAGGGGATGCTGATAATTTTAAATCTAATTTTTTTTTTATTTTTTTTAATATATGTGTTGTGTATATAGTCTTTCTGATTTCATTGAATTTCTTTTAACTAATTTGTTTTTTTATCACTTTAGTTTTATTTTTAAATATCACACATTGTGATAACAGATCTACCAAGTTGAAATGTTTTAAGAACTTGGACGTAAATTTACTGTTGATGATCTAGCAATTAAAGCAGTTTCTATACATTATCGTCTCAGTATAGTGCTTTCTCTTTTAATTAGAGTAGCATTTTGTAACTAAAAATCATGGCCAGACTCATTACGATGAGCAACTAAACGTAAACATCACTTTTGTCCGATGAAGTCCTAAAAGACGAAACAAGTTACACGAAAACTTTTACCATTTGTCATAGATTTCCCTAACACACACACACACATATATATATATGTATGTATGTATGTATGTAAGTATGTATGTGTGTGTGTGTTTGTGCGGTGTGTGTGTGTGTGGGCGGACATCAATAAGTCTGTTGATGAAAGAAACATTCTGTTAAACAATAAATATTTTTTTCTTAACATAATTCTTTGTAAATGAACTTAATTCAATGGCGAACAATAATCGCATAACTCGAACATTATACAATGAAAATTTGAGATCAAAATTCACCTAATAACTGCGTGCCAGACTTTTAAAGGGTTTCAACTTCATGAAATCTAGAGTTAAAATTTGTATTTCAAGCCTCAAATAAAAATAAAACTGATTTCTGATCATTCAGAACGTTCCTTATCCTTATAACAAAATTAACTACTCCTGTCATTTAAAATATGATTAATTTAATATTAGATACTAATTAACTTCGTTGTAAATAACTCAAATTATTTACTTTAAATTGCTGATTAAGTGTAAAATAAAAATACTTTTTAGTTTGTAAAGGTTTTCAGTGGAGCTATTTTCGTTTGTATTAAAAATATAATGGCAATTGGGAGTTGTTTGAAAAGTGAATAATTTATATCTAAAGTTGTTGAATGAAACCATAGGTCTCACAGTTGCTGTTCCAACACATCAACCATTAAGCCAATAACTGCAACGCGTAGCTAAGTCGTTAGGTAGGTATTTACAATGATGAATGATTTGTAGCATTTCATGATAAAGTTTGTGTATATGTTTTTTCTTTTAACTTTATATTAAAGTTTTTATAATTGTATGTGTGTGCGCGCACGAGTGTGTGCGTATATATTTTCGTTGCGACGAACAGAAGTAACTTGACTGCTCAACAAAAACATCAACTCGTTGAAACTTCTCGACACTTTTTGTCTTATTTTACTTTCTTTTCTTTTATTTTTCCATTCTTTAGTTTCATTTCTTTTAGTTACTCTTTTTTTCTCTCACGCCTCTCTCTCTCTCTCTTTTTCTCTCTCTCCCTCTCTCGTTTTTTACATCGTACCGCAAAACTTGTTTGTCGCTCCAAAAGACACATTTACAATTACGCATCCTCTCTCTCTCTCTCTCTCTCTCACTCTTTCTCATACACATATATAATGCATACGTGCACACAGACACACCCGCACTTTTATCTGCATACATACATACGACTACGCGTCATTGCTACCAAACTTATTTTTATTTCAGCACAACAAACTCATTTCATAAATGCTGAAATATAACGCACCATAAAAAGTAGCTTATTCCTTCGATCGCCGGTTTCACACAGGTTTCTCTTGGCATTGTATTTTGTAAAAAAAAAAAACACACACACACTATGTCCATATTGTCAAAGGAGTTTGGACAGTTTTACTAAAAAAAATACTAAGGTAAGAAAATGTATTTATGGTTTTACTTTTTTGATCAATGAATGCAAATCCTCCTCATCCTCCTCCTCATCATCTCTTCTTTTTGGTTTTCTGTTTGATACAATCATTTCTGAAGTCTTTTATCTGAGACCTAAGGTAAGTGAAGTTTTTCTCTTCTGAAGAGTAATTGATTTGTTTTTTACGGCTTACCAACCTTTTTAAGGTTATTTAAAGCCAAAGCATATTTGGGTTTGGGATTGTAATAATTTTTGAGGAGATAATAATGATTTTCTTTTCTCCTTAAGAAGAAGAAATCGAAATAATTTTCAGAGTGAGCAATAATCAATAACACAATCTCTGGAATTTCCGATGATATTATTAATGTGCATAATAATTTCTAGTGTTCCTATAACTACTGGAATAATGCGTGTGTTTAAATTCCACATTCATGTAATTTATATTTTTCAGATTTTTATATTTGGAGAGTTTATCAAATACTTCCGCGGAAATGTTTTTGTCACACGGTATGATCATGTCGATGGGGTAGTCATTATTTAATCATTATAGTCTTACGGTAACATCCCGTTGAAACACCGGTTTTCGTACGATCACCACAGTTAAGCAACGTTGAACCTGGTCAGTGTATAGATGGGTGACCTCTTGGGAATTCCAGGTGCTGTAAGCTTGGATATGCGAGTGGTGTAATAGAATGAGTCAAAATTGTTATTCGAAGAGCAGAGTTCCAATTCTCGTTGGGTTCGTTAAAGTTACTTACGCGCAAATACCTCTGGAAAAAAGTCTGAACCCAACTCTTCTCCCCCCCCCCAGCTATAGGTTAATTAGTAAGACTTGTGTCACTAAAAACCATTATTATCTAAAAAAAAATCTTACAATCGAAAAGCATTTTCTGGTATTAAATAACCTGCAATGGGTTGATAATCCGTAGAAAACGAATAAATATTATTGTTGCTGCTGTTATTTCAAAATATTTTAATAAGCCAGTTAGCCAATTGGCCACTGGGAGAAATTAATCTTTCAGTTTCAATCATTAATCAAGCGTTTGAAAGCTTACTGTTCATTTGTACAATTTAATTGACTCTCTCTCTCTCTCTCTTTCCTTCTGTCGCTCGCTCTTTTTCTCCTCTTTTTTCTCTCTCGCTCTCTCTCTCTATCTTCCCTCCACTGTCGTCTGTTCTCTTTCCCCCTTGCATCTCTTTCTTTTTTTTATCTCTCTCAGTTTCTCTCTCTCTCTCTCTCTCTCTCTCTCTCTCTCTCTCTCTTCCTTACTGGGCATGCACGTACGTGTGTATATTACTGGAATATTTTCTGTTTTGTAATAGTCTTGAGTAAATAACAATCTTGAATAATCAGAGGAGAAAGTTATCCGAATTCTTTTAGAGATGTCTCTGCAATTAACTTACAAGCCCTGTCGCCATCAAAAATGACGGCGATTCTTACAAAGTTTTAATAGTGAGATGCAATGAAAGAAAGTCTTGAAACAGTGTATCGAGTTTCAATAAAGCGGAGATAAAGAATTCTAATTCAAAATTAAAACTGACGCCAATGAGCAGTTTAATTAATCCGTTCCCTTTATATTTTTAGATGTTCAACGGTATCTATGATATGAGTCATGAATTACTCCTGATATTATATAAATCGCTGTTTGCCCAATATCTTTTCATGTTAAAAATCTTATGTTTAATATAACAGTGAAATGGAAGTATCTCTCTGAAGGAAAAAATTGGCAACAGTATGACAAAGACGCCGACAACAAAGCCTATTTCAAAACCAAATTGAAGCAAGACGATCACTTAATACAAAAGGTATCTGAGTGTCTCACATAAAAGGTTTGAATAAATAAGACAGCAATCTAAAAAAAAAACGTAAGAGTAAAGCAACTGATTAATTAAACGGTTCATTTTGCTCCGGAACTAATTTTGTTTAAATGCAGATGTATATTTTATTCGTATATATTATTAAAATGACTAAGGGAAATAATCATTCATAAATTTAGCAATTTAAGTTGATTTACCTCCATTTTCGCTACAGATGTGACAAGAAATATATAAATAAATACACATTGATAATTATTATATGGCTTGATTATATACATACTGTTAATTATTAATAGTATTAATTCAATTATTATTGTCAATAAGTTAGACAAATTATTATTCTATTATGTAGCATAAGTATAAATCTCGAAGGCTGTCATTTAATTTAGATGGGTGAAGATGGGAGGAGTAACCTCATGCGTAGGAGCATAAAATGTATCTCAGCAATAATAACGGTCTGTGAGAATGGGTTTCAGATTTCTAGCTTTGCTTTCACTTAGTTATTTTTACAACGTTTGGAGTCAGTCTTTGTGTTGATTAAATCATCTTGGTTATTCAAACAATTAAACAAACGACACTGGTACTGAGGTATGTGTTCACCAATCTTGACTCCTACAAATCATTAAAACTTAATGGTACGAAATGTGCCCCTGAACTGGCTCTTGTTCTCGCCAAGTTCTACAGTAGATACTTTAATGCTTTCTGCTTTCTCCAGATTGTTGAAAATCTGTAGTTTTTGTTTTTAAGAACTCTGGAGAACAGTTTGATCTTTCGAACCGTCGACCTATTAATCTTCTACCATATTTTGGCAAAGTATAAAAGACTTTAATCAACGCTAAATTGATTGAGAAACACACCTCCTAGGGTCTTCTTTCAGACTAGCAAATTGACTTTCGCTTCTCTAGATCAATCGTTGATGTGTTGACTGTTATTGCTGAAAGTGTGTGTCAAGCTTTAGATGAGAATGGTGAAGAACTGTTACTTTAGATATTTCGAAGGCATTTGACATGATTTGGCATGCTGGTTTTCTTTAAAAGTTGGATGACGGTGTTTCTGGTCTTTTTTAAAAAAAATTAACTCAATCTTTCTTATCAAACTACGCAATTAAAGTTGTCTTAAATGGCTATTCCTCTAGATCATTTTGCATTAACGCGTGAGTCACCCATTTTTGGGCGCACTCTATTCCTTATTTTCAGCAATGATCTTCCTGTTGTCATCAGGTTCTGACTCGGTACCTGTGCGGAGGAGACAACTATTTACTCTTGTCTTAATATTAAATCTGATATGTTTGATATAATCAAATTGGCAGCTGGTCTCGAAAATGACTTACAATCTATTGTGAACTGGGTCAAAAATGTTAATTTTAACGCATCTGCTTTTTAGTAATCATCTTAAAGAACATTGTTTGCCTTCCATCAGTATGGCTGATGCTAACCCCCAGGAGAGCAACTAACTCCGCTTTCTTGGTCTCACGTTTTCCACTGATATGAAGTGGAATGATTATATTGAATCAATTACTAAATCTGTCGCAAGAACAGTTGTTATGGTGCTAGACAAATTTTTATCGCCAGAATCTAACTTGCACATTTATATGTCTATTATTCGTCCGAATATCGAATATTTCTTCCACATTTGGTCTGGTGCTTCTGCTATATATCCAGGGATTCTTGGCAAAATCCAAAGAAGAATCTACAACGTTATCAGTCCTGAACTAGCATCTTAACTTCAGTCACTTCCCTTTGCCTCTTCTATGAATCTTTTTATGATAATTGTTCTGATGAACTTTCCTCGTTCGTACCTCAAATTCACGAGTTTAAGCGCACTACTAGATTGGCAGCTAAGTTCTATGCCAACTGTTTCTTTTCTCGCACTTGTAGCAGTTGTAGAACTCTCTTCCGGTTTCCTGCTTTCCTGTCAACTACGATCTTCAAAAATTAAATATAATGTCAATTGTCATCTTCTGTCTCCTTGAATCCTATTTTTTATTGTCCGCCATGTTCCTTTCACTCTCAGGAAACTCTTGCATCCTAGTGGCTTTTATTGATTTCTTTGGGGTGAAATAATAATAATAATAATAATAATAATAATAATTCAATGATCTTGAAGTAGAAATTTAAAAAGTGTGGCACATGGAGACATCAATAATTCTAGTTGTGGGTGAGACCATGGGTTTGATTGGAAATGGTTCTCATAGATTCATAGAATGGATCCGTGGCAGCCCATGTTTTAAGGAAATACAAAATAAATTTTCTTATAAGTACATCTCACACCCCACGAAGGGAATAATCTATATAAAATGTGTATGTGTTTGCAGGTTTGTTTATTTTATTTATTTATTTTGTACACAAATCAGTGGAAAATGCCATGAAGCTATTCCTCGCCTTATGACTTTGGTTGGGACCCGGGGAAAATGATTATGCAACAAAAATCAAAGGAAATGACATAAAAAATAATAACTGAATCATGAGATAGTACGCTTGTGTGAGCTTAAGAATACAAAAGTTGTTCCTATCATTGTGGGTGGTCTTGGGTAGTAACAGATAAAATCCAAAAATGGCTGCGTAAATTTGAAAGTGTCATTCGAACTGAAATATTTCAGAAAATAGCAGTGTTTGAGACAGCCAGAATTCTGAGAAAGGTTTTGTCAATGTAGAGAGGTAAAGAAATAATAAGACACATAGTCATCTTTTTTGACCAGCACCTGATCATAAAACAACAACAACAACGTCAATAAAAAAAAACTACATCAGTACAAACCAGAAGCTGTTTTAGAAAAAATAGTATACTTCGACACTGACATCTACATCAATCTCTCATCCAAACAAGAAAACTGAATCTGATAATCATAAACAAGGATAAGAAGACATATTAATTCGTTATCGTAGTATTTTTCCAATTTTATGAAAATATTATCATTATCTTTGTAGTAGTAGTAGTAGTAGTAGTAGTTTCTACTCTCGGCTCGTCAGGAGTCGATTTGCCTGACTTTCCCCTTAGAACTCAGTCTCTACTGTGTGATATACATACCACTTCGTCCATAAAAACTAGCGTAAAATTGGAAAATTCATTTTTCGCCCGGGAACTGAAAAAAAGTCCAATATGGAGGTTAGGGTTGCGCTTGGAACCGTGACGAAATCACTAGAATCCAGACTAGATAAATTAGAATCTCGAACGAGAACTGGTCAACAAGATTAAAGAACTAGACCAAAATGGTACATACAAATACTTAAGAATTAATGAAGGAGATGGGATACAACATTCAATTATAAAGAAAAAAGATCCGAAAATAATATCATAGGAGAATGCATTTGATACTAGAAAACGAACTTAATGGGGCCAATAAAATGAAGCCTATAAACACATTAGCTATACTCATAGTAACATACAGCTTCAACATTAGTAAATGCAAGTTGAATGACATTAAAAGATTGGACGCCCAGACCAAAAATATGCTTACCCAAATGAGGATGCACCACTCGAAATCAGATGTTGATAGGCTGTACGTATCAAGAGCTCTAGGAGGCTGAGGTTTAATCCAACTTGAACTCACTCTAAATCGGATTGGAAACATACCTCACAAAAACCAATGAACTCTTCTTCAAATAGCAAAACACGAAATCCACTTCACCAACAAATAGGCCGCACTCTTCAAGAAACAGCTTAATGTACCCGAAACCCTACCAACAAAAAACGAAGCGAATACCATCTACGCCATATGAGTAAAACAGAAAGCAAAACAACTTGGTCAAATGAAATTTTAAAAAATCTGTGAGGAAATGGCAAATACCTAAAAAAAACAAAAGAAGCAGATGTGAACCAAGAGAAAACACATCAGTGGCTGAAGAGCA